CATTGACTGGGTGGCGACCCGCATTGCTCAGGCGCGTTTGGTCACAAAGTTTTTCAAGCGTCATAGCCACGCTCGCGAAGTTTTGCAAGCTTTCACGACGAAGGCTCTGCTGCTTCCCGCCGAGACTCGCTTCGGTACGCATGTGATTATGATGCGACGACTTCTTTTGCTGCAATCGCATCTTATGCAAGTGGTCGTTGATGATCGATGGAAGGACATTGTTTGGTCAACGAAGAAGATTCGAGACGACGCCGCGGAGGTCACAGCATGTGTCGGTTGTCCTCAATGGTGGGAGGATATGAGAGCGCTGTGCAAGTTGTTGGATCCCATCATGGACATGCTGCAGATGGTGGACAGTGACACGAGGCAGATTGGCAAGATTCTGCGTCGGTACGATGAGATGATCGCGCATTGTTTGTCTGCATATGCCGCTTTGGAGAAGGACGAGCAGGAAGCGCTGCTTGAAGTGTTTGACAGACGCCGCACCATGTTCAAGTCGCCTGCTCATGTTGCTGCCATGATGTTGGACCCCGAGTTTCGAGACCGCACGATGCCAGATGACGAGGAGATGCAGCACGGTTTGAAACTCGCTCTGATTCAGTTTGGGTACCCGGAACATTCGGATCAGCACACCGAGGTCCTCACTGCCATTGACAAGTTCCATTCCAGGGAGCCGCCGTTCGATGACGTGGCCATGGACCGGGCGGCGAGGAGCTATACCCATCYWGCCTGTTTCTGGGAGTCGAAGGAGAAGAGGTTCCCGCACACGGCCTTYTTCGCTGGCAGGATACTGCGTGTGTGGGCGACTGCGTCGCCTTGTGAGAGAGCTTGGTCCCGTTGGAGTTTCATCCACTCCAAATCTCGTAACAGATTRGAGGTGGCGCGGGCCGAGAAGCTCGTGCRATGCCATTGGAACCTTCGGCTCCTCGACAGGCAGGCTATGTCGGACGATGCTCCCAGTGACAGGCCACATCCGTATGGGAGCTGGGTGCACTACTGGCAGCAGGTGGAGGAGGAGGTGCCCACCGACCAGCAGCTTGTGGCAGACCGAGGAGCCCGTGTGACGGTCACGAAGGAGGAGTTGACGCAGGCGAGAGAGAGGATGCGCGTCGTGTCCCGCATGGGGGCCACTCGTCGCTTGCGGGAGTCTGACAGGAGGAGGTGTCGTGGCGGCGGTCGCGGAGGTGGTCGTCGGGGCAATCGCGGGCGAGGCGAGCGTGGAGGTCCTGGCGGGAGGCGTAGTGTCGCGAGTCGTGGAAGGGCAGTGGACGAGCTAGTACGCAAGCCTCGACAGCGACGGGATGAGGGAGACTTTTTGTACGAGAGCTCGTCCAGCGATGACGAGGATTTCTTCGGGACTGGCAGGCCTGCACAGGATGGCGACAGCGATTTCGACGACCGTCACCCGAACGTGGGCGACGACGATGGCGCCAGTGGCGATGATCACAGTGACGGAGGAGATAGGCCACGACCTGCACATGGTGACACGATGTGCCCCGACGGGGCAGGGGGCGAGCACCGCACAGCAGTAGATGACGCTCGAGATGGAGTGCATGATGATGTTTCACGACCTGTCTTGGGCAGTGACCTGAGGCGCTTGAAACGCGGACCAAGGGAAAAAGACACTATCGCTTCACGTGTGCGCAAACATCATGGTGGGGTTGCTAGCATTCCACTATCACGAGTCCCCGCAACTGGGCAGATTCCAGTTTCTGAGGACTCTTTCAGCGATCACGGCGGTGAGGAGCGGATCGAGCTGCATGGCGGGAGCGGTCATCCACGAGGTGACACTTCGAGTATGCACGTGACAACTCCGATGGGGCCTTCCGCAGCAGTCCCAGAATCGCAACAGGGTCCAGCACCGTTGATGCGTCATCCCGAGRTTCAGGGAGAGATCAGTCCTCTCCCGGCAGTGGGGGACGAGGGTTCTGTCGATGCACTGCATCCACTCACGTCTGCCGGAGCGGCAGTCTCAGTTGCAGCGACCTCGGAWGTGGGACAACCACTGGCAGCGACGGAGCAAGAAAGTATGCTCCCACCTCGCAGTGTTCAACCGCGGCCACCGCCTGCATTGATGGAGGGGAGTCAGGGGACCGTTGTTGTGTGTCAAGGCGACGATCTCCCGGAACGTGATATCTCACACACTCCCGCAGTTGAGCAGAGCGCCACAGACCATGTCGACCTCGCATGCCCCACCGGCAGTCTTCTGGGTACCGGCGAGTTACTGACCATGGACTCTGCGCTCGTTTCTCTACCAGACTTGTCGACGTTGATATCCCCAGGTCTACCCCATGTGTCACCGCCCAAGCCACAACAGCCTGTTGTCATSGAGCGTGGATCGGACGGGTTTGACGTGGTAGGAGGCGATATCGCCGATATGATTACGAGCCCAATGGTGTCTGCCACGCCCACAATTTTTCGTGTTGGCAAACTACGTGAGGTGGCCCTTGGTTTGGCGGAGACGGCGACGCGACACCGCCGCGACGGTCAGCGCAGCATCGCACAACGCAGTCTTTCTCATTCGTTTGACGGCGCAGAGGAAGGGTCTCCTGGTGGGCCAGTTGACACACTCGAAAGAGAAGCAAGACCCCCAAGTCCGCCGTCAAACTCAGAGCATCATCCGATTGTCGCGGCTGTCGGCGCAGATGCGGGCGTCCCCGTCACAAACAGTGGCGCAGACGCGACAGAACAGCTTGTGGTTGGGTCATCGGTGACAGCACGGCGCGACAGAGCCACTGTTTTGCCGACAGTGGCATTYTATGCCAGCGGGAAGAGTACTGGGGGGATGGATGAGCAGGGAGTCCGGAATGTTGGCAGGCCATCAACACCGTCTATGGGGAAACGATCCATTGGGAGTGTGGATGGTGCTCGGCACACCGCCATGGCAGAGTTTGAGGACCGACACGGGAGTGCTTTGCCGACGAAGACGTCTGATGTCCATGCTACGAGAGCCGCAAAGGCGAGTCTTTCTCGGGCAAGGAAGAAGGCCTCGGCAAGGAAGGCGTCACGTTCATCCTCACATATGCGTTCCCGAGAGAGAGGATCGGGCGTTGTGCATCTCAAGGACGGAGAGATTGCACCTGACGGCGACGCATTGGATGTTGGAGGGAGGGATGCAACGACGGCGGATATCGTCAGCAGGGAGGGTAAAGGGAATGCAGTGGCAGGTCAGAAGAGACGCGGCAGTGTACTTATCGTCCACGACGACAACACAGATGTCGCCCCGGGAGAGACCACAGGCACTGATGATGCAGGGGACTCCGATTACGTACCCAAACCACGGGCGGTAGATGGAGATGATGGAGGAGGGCGACGAGTGAGACCGAGGACACGACTCGGGCCTCAAGGGCAGCGAGCACAGGGCACACCATCGGCGATGATTCCTGGCCCCATAGATCGGCGAGCTCAGGCGCAGCGGTTGCTGCGCAAAATGGAGGTCACTCTTCAACAGACGCACGGGTTATCGCCTGGCCGCGAAGAGACGGAGACTCAGAGACAAGGAGAGAGGGAGGGAGAGAGAGAGAGAGAGAGACATAGAGAGAGAGAGAGAGAGAGAGAGAGAGAGAGAGAGAGAGAGAGAGAGAGAGAGAGAGA